ATGAAGAAGGTATTTGGTATGGTTGTCTTTATTGGTCAGTGCATTGAGTATAGGAGTTGGGAGGTCATGTTGCGGCTGTACAGGACATTGGTCAGGCCTCTTTTAGAACACTGCATTCAATTCTGGTCTCCTTGCTATAGGAAGGATGTTGTTAAGCTTGAAAGGGTTCAGAAAAGATTTACAAAAATGTTGCCAGGGTTGGAGAGTTTGATCCGTAGGGAGAGGCTGACTAGGCTGGGGTTATTTTCTCTGGCGTGTCGGAGGCTGAGGGGTGACCTTTATAGAGGTTTATAAAATCATGAGGGGCATGGATAGGGTGAATAGGCAAGGTCTTTTCCCCAGGGTAGGGGAGTCCAAAACTAGAGGGCAGAGGTTTAAGGTGAGAGGGGAAAGATTTAAAAGGGACATGAAGGGCAACTTTTTCACGCAGAGGGTGGTGTGTGGATGGAATGAGCTGCCAGAGAAAGTGGTCGGGGCCGATACAATTATAACTTTTAAAAGGCATCTGGATGAGTATATGAATGGAAAGGGTTTGGAGGGATACAGGCCAAATGCCAGGAAATGGGATTAGATTAGGATATGTGGTCGACATGGACGAGTTGGACCGAAGGGTCTGTTTCCATGCTGTACTTCTCTATATGACATAGAGGAATTTACTTCACTTAGCCAAATCTGCAGAGTATTTTTTAGTGATGAAACAGGTTACAAAGGACAGGTCATGTGCAAATTTTATTGATTTCAACCATTAAAATCTTATCAAAAACTGGGTTTTTGTGCACATGAGAGAGAGACTGTGAATACTAGAATGAAATGACTACTCCATAAAAGAAGATGAATAGTTCGATGGTTGATAATAAAAAATGTGAGTTTAGTGATTACCAACTGAGTGAAAGATGGTCTCTCTTGGCTGGGACTTGCTGGTCTTTCAGTGCGAGCTGTTGTCCTTGCTCACAAACTGAGAGAGAGGTCCTAAAGCCTGGGGCATCCTCCGCAATGACACAATGAGGGAAGGTGGCCTTTGAGCCACAGTACAGCGAGGAGCTAGAAACTGTGATTGCTGAGCTGTCAGCCTGACAGGAATGTACACTGTGTATACTCATAGGACGGAGGCACATCAGTGAACATGCACTTGGTATAGCTTTCAAGTCGAAAGATCTTGGAATGTGTTTATACTAATTTTATGAATAAATAGAAGGAAAATTCACAGAAACAGAGACTCGGAGCAGGAGTAGGCCATTCAGCTCTTTGAGCCTGTTCCCCCGTTCAATAGGATCATGGCTGATCATCCAACTCAGTCCCCTCTTCCTGCTTTCTCCCCCATATCCCTTTAAACACTTTAGCACTAAGAACTCTCTCAAACTCTTTCTTAAAATATTTCAACGTGTTGGCCTCAACAGCTCTCTGTGGCAGAGAATTCCACAGGCTCCTTGCTCTCTGGGTGAAGACATTTCTCCTCATCTCATATTCTCCTACGCCATATCCTTAAACTGTAACCCCAGGTTCTCGACTGCTTGGTCATTAGAAACATTGGGACCCTGTCTAGTCCTGTTAGAATTTTATGGGTTTCTATGAGAACCTACCCCCCAACTTTCTTCTAAACTCCAGTGAATATAGTTCTAACTGATCCGATCTCTCTTCATACGTCAGTCCTGTCATCCCAGGAATCAGTCTGGGAAACCTTCGCTGCATTCCCTCTATCACCAGAACATCCTTCCTCAGATAAGGAGACCAAAACACAGCACAATACTCCAGGTTAACGTTAACTGGTCTCACCCAAGGTCCTGTACAAACAGAAAAGCAGCCAAACATTAGTACCGATATCCCCGATCTGCACAGTAATAATTTCAGTGTTAGCAACAATTTTATACAATCACTGAACATCAATCTCAAACATCCAGGCACCAAATGTTAGGAACAAAGGAACAGGAAGAGGCCATTCATCCCCTCCAGGCTGTTCAACCACTCATTACGACCATGGTGGGTCTGAGTTCTAGCTCTCATGCCCTTTTGTTTCATATCCCTCAATGCCTTTGGCTTACAAATACCAATCAATCTCCGGTTTAAATCTAGCATTAATCCAACATCAGCCTTCTTTTAGGGAAGAGAGATCCAAACCTGTCCCACTCTTAGAAACATACAAAGGTAACTCAGATGGCTGGATGGCTGGTTTGTGATGCAGAGTAACACCAACAGTACGGGTTCAATTCTTACACTGGCTGATGTTACTGTGAAGATCTCTCCTTCTCAACCTCTGCCCTCGCCCTGAGGTGTGGTAACCCTCAGGTGAAACCACCATCAGTAGCCTCTCTCTAAAGAGAGAGCAGCCCCATGGTCTGGTAGAAATATGGTGACTTTACCTTTTAATTTCACTTCTGAAAGGTCTGGCTCGAATTTTTAGATACTGTCTCTGGTCAAAGATAGACTTGCAACAAATTGGAATAAAATTTATATTCAGCAAAATTCTAACTTCTAGCATTGAAGAATAATTACTAGATTAATAAAAGGAGCCGAATAAGATCAGATTTTTAGCCTTTTTTTACAATTGAAATTTCAAGCACACTTCCTAGTTCATTAGAGTGCATGTTCATAGTTCATTGAAAATGGAGTTGCAGGTAGACAGGGTGGTGAAGAAGGCATTTGGTATGCTTACCTCTGTTGGTCAGCATGTTGAGTATAGGAGTTAGGAGGTCATGTACAGGACATTAGTTAGGCAACTTTTGGAATACTGCATTCATTTCTGGTCACCCTGCTATAGGAATGATGTGGGGAAACTTGAAGAGGCTCAGAAAAGACTCACAAGGATGTTGCCAGGGTTGGAGGGCTTGAGGTATAGGGAGGGGCTGCATAGACTCAGGCTGGTTTCCCTGGAGCGTCGGAGGCTGAAAGGTGACCCTTTGAGGGCTTTACAATCATAAGGGGCATGGATAGGTTGAATAGCCAAGGTCTTTTCCCCATGGTAGGGGAGTCCAAAACTAGAGGGCATAGGTTTAAGGTGAGAGGGGAAGGATTGAAAAGGTGGTGCGTGTATGGAATGAGCTGCCAGAGGAAATGGTGGAGGCTGGTACAATGCTTAAAAGGCATCTGGATGGGTATATGGATAAGGAGGGATTTAGAGAGAAAAGGGCCAAATGCTGGTAAATGGGAGTAGATTACGGTGACTTGGCCACATGGATTCAGATTTGGGTTGCCCATGGAAGATAAAGGGTATTGGTGGACTCTATAAATTTGGTGGTCATGTGCTGAGTCATTCAGGCAATTGGAAATTCCACAACTGGTCCCTGCTGAGTTGATACATTGCAGCCAGAACAGAGTTGGGGATCATACATCTGCTGTCTCCTCCTCTTCCTCCATTGAGCATTGTCAGTCGCTGAAAGGTTGCGGGGCCGTGATTAATGCTGTGATATTGCTTTGGGACAGATTGAACATGCAGTTGGCATTGAACCACACACTGCTGGAGTTACTCTGAACCCCAGACAAACGATCTAGCCAACTGAGCTAACAGCCCATGTTCCTCACTTCGAGTACCTTTGCTCCTGCAGTGAATGTATCAGTTTAATTTTTGACCTGAACTCTTGCAGTGAGATTGGAACCTACAAACTCTGTCTTTGAGGCGAGAGAATTATTTTTAATAATTGTTAATAGGCCGAGGGTGCTGCAGAATAGGGTGGAATTTTATTGCCCATCCTAATTGGACTGAGGAAGGTAATTAGTAATGGAGATTAAATGCTGCCCTCGCCAGTGACATCCACATGCTCCTGTTATGATCCCAGCTGATGGTAACACTGGACAAGGCAGATCCCAGAGTGAAACCTGGCTTGATAGATCAAAAAAGGCTGGAGGTCCGTAACTAGTGGTGTTCTGCAGGGATATCTGTACTGGGACCTCTGCTGTCTGTGATATATATAAATGACTTGGATGAAAATGTAGATGGGTGGGTTAGTAAGTTTGCAGATGATACAAAGATCAGTGAAGATGTGGATAGTGTAGGAGGTTGTCAATTGATACAGTGGGATGTAGCTCAGTTGCTGATAAGGGCGGAGAAATGGCAGATGGAGTTTATGGCTAAGTGTGAGGTTCTGCACTTTGGGAGATCAAATGTTAAGAAAAAGTATGCAGTTAATGACAGGACCTTGAACAGCATTGATATACAGCATTGATGTACATTGAAAGTAGCAATGCAAGTGGAAAACTAAGGCCTATGGCATGCTTGCCTTTATTGGTCAGGGAATTGAGTACAAGAGTTATGTTTCAGCTTTATAAGACTTTGCTTAGGCTATACTTAGAGTATTGTGTTCAGTTCTGGTCACCACATTACAGGAAGGATGTGGAGGCGTTGGAGAGAGTGCAGAAGAAGTTTACCAGAATGCTGCCTGGATTAGAGAGTATGAGCTGTAAGGAGAGGCTAGAAAAACTTGGGATGTTTTCTCTTGAGCAGCACAGGCTCAGGGGAGACTTGATAGAAGTCTATAAAATTATGAGATGCATAGATACGGTTGACGGTTAGAATCGTTTTCCCAGAGTTGAAACGTCTAAAACTAGGGGGCATGCATTCAAGGTTAAAGGGGGAAAGATCAAAGGAGACGAGAGGGTCAAGTTTTTTCACAGACTGGTAGGAGCCTGGAATGCACTGCCAAGGGGGATGGTGGGGACAGATATGCTCGAGGTATTTAAGGGACTTTCAGTTAAGCACATGAATATACAAGGAATGGAAGGATATGGACCAAGGGTAGGCAGAAGAGATTAGTTTCATTTGGCGTCACGTTCAGCACAACGCAGTGGGCTGAAGGGCCTGTTCCTGTGCTGTTCTGTTCTGTTCTGTTCTGTGTTCTATTACTTTAGGATATCTGGTCATCATGGACAGGTTGGACCGAAGGGTCTGTTTCTGTGCTGTACACCTCTATGACTCTGGTCAAAGTTCAACATACTCAGAATGGTCTCTTTTTGTGTGCTTGAACTAATCCTTATAAAACTAATCCAAATGTGTTTATTTTTCTGTTCAGCTTCTCTTATAGAAACTCCCCAGTCAGGACACTTCACCACATGTCCAAAGGAGTTGATGAGTTACTGTATAGAAGGAGAATGTCGGTTTATACAGTCTGAAAATAAGCCTTCGTGTGTGTAAGTTACCAATCAAAATGTCTCCAGTTCTTTCCTGCAATCATTCCTTCATTTGTAGTTTTGTTTCTTGGAATTTCGGGTAACTTCTTTTTCACAATGAGTATAGAAGGGAGGCAATGGCATGGTGGTATTATCACTGGACCGTTAATCCAGAGACCCAGATAATGTTCTGGGGACAACAAGGTTTAGAGCTGGATGAACACAGCAGGCCAAGCAGCATCATAGGAGCAGCCTGCTGTGTTCATCCAGCTCTGCACCTTGTTGTCTCGGATTCTCCAGCATCTGCAGTTCCTACTGTCTCTAATGTTCTGGGGACGTCAGTTCGAATCCCACCATGGCAGTTGGTGGAATTTGAATTCAATAAATATCTGGAATTAAGAATCTAATGATAACTGTGAATTCATTGTTGATTTGTTGGGAAAAACCCACCTGGTTCACTAATGCCCTTGAGGGAAGGAGACTTCCCTCTGGACTACATGTGACTCCAGTCTCACAGCAATGTGTTTGACTCTTAACTGCCCTCTGGGCAATTAGGGATGGGCAATAAACGCTGGCTAGCCAGCGATTCCCTCATCTTGTGAATGAATTAAAAAAAACTAAGAATTTGCATCTGTATAGTGCCTTCACAACCTTAGGGCTTTCTACCCAATGACCTACCTTTTGAAGTGCAGACATTCCACAATACTGGTATCTATTAAAGGAGCCTGGATGAAATAGTCAAACTTTTGGAGTGTGTTCAGAACCTACAGTGAGGGAGATGGTGGTGTAATGGCTGTGTCACTGGAAATCCAGAGGCCCAGGCTAATGCCTTGGGGTCAGGGGTTCAAATCCCAACATGGTAACTGGTTCAATTTAAATTCAATTAGTTAGTCTCAATGAGTGCAGTCATGAAAGATTGTTTAAAAACTCATCTGGTTCACTAATACCTTTGAGGGAAGCAAATCTGCTGTCCTTACCTACCCTACATGTGAGTCCAGTCAGGAATGGGCACCAAAAACCTTGCCAGAAAGGCACCCTTCTCGGCTCCAGGACATGTCTGCAGGAGTTCCTCAGGGTAGTGTCCTAGACCCAACCATCTTCAGCTGCTTCACCAATGAAAGTCCGAAGTGGGTGTGTTCACTAACGAGTGCACACAATGTTCAGCACCATTTGTGACTCCTCGGATACTGAAGCCGTCCTGTTCAAATGCAGCAAATCTGGGGATAATATCCATACGCGGGCAGAAAAATGGCACGTAACTTTTTCTATATTTGTTCATGGGATATGGGTGTCTCTGGCCAGAACTGCATTTATCACCTGTCCCTAATTGCTCAGAAGACAGTTAAGCGCCAATCACATTGCTTGTGGGTCTGGAGTCACATATTGGCCAGACCAGGTAAGGAAGTTTCCGTCCCTAAATGGCATCAATGAACCTGATGGGTTCATTAGGATTCGAACCTGGGTCCCCAGAATATTCTCTGGGTCTCTGGATCAACTATCTGATGATAATACCACTAGGCCATTGCCTTCCCATTTGTGCACAAGTGTCATGTAATGACCATTTCCAACAAGAGAAAATCCAACCATCTCAACATTTAAAGTCATTACCATCACTGATCCCCCCACTATCAATATCCAGGAGGTTACTATTGACCAGGAACAGAACTGGATGGCTACAAGAGCAAGTCAAAGGCTGGTAATCCTGCAGGAACTCGCCTCCTGACACCCCAAAGCCTGTCCACCATCTACAAGGCACAAGCCAGGATTGTGATGGAATACTCTCTCTGGATTGGTTGGTACCTCATTCATCAGCTCCAACATTCACTCCCTCCACAACCGAGGCTCAATAGCAGCCGTGTATGCCATTTGCAAGATGCACTGCAACAGCTCACCGAGCCTCCTTCCACAGCATCTTCCAAATCTGTGACCACTTCCATCTCGAAGGACAAGGGCAGCAGATACATGGGAACATCACCCCGTGCAAGGTCCCCTCCAAGCCACTCACCATCCTGACTTGGAAATATGTCGCTGTTCCTTCGGTGTCACTGGGTCACAATCCTGGAATTCCCTCCCTAAGGGCAGTGTAGATGTCCCTACACTACAAGAACCACAGACATTCAAGAAGGCAACTCCCAGCCACTTCTCCAGGCCATCTAGGGATAAGCAGTTAATTTTGGGCTAGCCTGTTCCCATATATCTATTGCTCTTGTCCTTCTAGGGAGTAAAGGTTGTGGGTTTGGAAGGTGCAGTCAGAATTTCTGTTGAATTTGTGTAGTGCATCGTGAAGTTAATACGTACCGTTGCTACTGACTGCCAGTAGTGAGGAGCGTAAACGTTCAATGTGGTTCCGTTCAAGTGGGCTGCTTTGTCCTGGATGGTGTTGAGTTTCTTGAGTGGTGTTGGAGCTGCTGTTATCAGGACAGGTGCAGAGAGGATTCTGTCACAGCCCTGACTTGTGCCTTGTAGATGATAGACATGTTTTGGTGAGTCAGGGGATGAGTTCCTCACCACAGGGCTCCTAGCCTCTGATCTGCTCATGGCCATTGTGCTTATATGGCATGTCCAATTAAGTATCTGGTCAATGGTGTAGATATTGGGGGATTCAGTGATACCATTGAATGACAAGGAGAGATGACAAGGCAGCACGGTGGCTCAGTGGTTAGCACTGCCTCACAGCACCAGGGATCCGGGTTCGATTCCACCCTCAGTCGATTGTCTGTGTGGAGTTTGCACGTTCTCCCCGTGTCTGCGTGGGTTTCCTCCAGTTGCTCTGGTTTCCTCCCACAGTCCAAAGACGTGCAGGTTAGGGTGGCTTGGCCATGCTAGATTGCCCATAGTTTTCAGGGATGTGTGGATTAGAGGGATGGGTCTGGGTGGGATGCTCTGAGGGTCAGTGTGGTCTTGTTGGGCGAAGGGCCTGTTTCCACACTAGGGATTCTATGATATTCTATGATCGCTATTAAATATCAACCTGGTGCATGTGTGGCATGAATGTTACTTGCCACTTATCAAGCTGAGTGTTAAACAGGTCTCACTGAATGTGGGAAGGAATTGGTTCTTTACTGAGGAACGCCAGGAGACATCCTGCTTCTGGCCCTATGATTTGAAGAAAGGTTATGAATACAGAACCTGATGATAACAATGGATATATGCTACAGGGCTGCAGGAAATGCAATGACAAAGTAAGGATATTTATTCCCATTCCTTTATACTATTGGGCAGAAATAATAAACTCACCACTAATTAGGAAGGTATGATTTAAAGTTCTTCGTCTGGGTACAAGAGACAAAATACTGGAGATTCTTAGCAAGTCAGTCGAAAAAGTGACTGGAGACTTTGCTTTGTTCCAGTTGGTGTGATATTAAATCTTTTAGATTATAAATTTATACAGTTCTATGACCCCAAACCTATTAAAATATTTAATAACCATCTGGTTGTTTATTTTAACCATTCGCTCTTGTCTTTAACAGGTGTAAATTTGGCTACATCGGCTCCCGATGTGAATTTCTGGATATCTTCTATCTAACTGGAAGACGGGACAAGTTCATCGTTGTGGGGCTGGTTCTGGCCATTTTGCTGCTCATGATTGCAATAATAATCACATGTTTTTGTGTGCAGTTAGGTATACTTTAATCCATCTCTTGTTGAATCTTGAGGAATTACCCAACAGTTGTTCATTTACAAAAAGACATGTGTATTGTAGATCAGTACAGCACAGAGGGAGGCTATTTGGCCCACTGTCCCCTGTATGCCTCTTTGGAATTGCAATGATGAGAACATAAGTGGGGAAAAAGGCACAGTCTCAGAATAAAGGGTGCTAATTTAAGACTGAGATGAGGAGGAATTTCTTCTGAGTGTTGAGAATCTTCGGAATGCCTTGCTGCAGAGAGTTGGGATGTGGGGTAGCACAGTCCTTGTGTTTTTTTTTAAAGCTGAAATAAATTGTGGATCAGTCGGCAAATCAAGGTTTAAGGGAAAAGGCAGGAAAGTGGACATGAGTGTTGGATCAGCCAGAATCCTGTTGAATGGCAGAACAGGATTGAGGGGCCAAATGGCCTATTCCTGTTACTATTTCTTATGGTCTTGGAGGAGCAGGGTTGAGCCATATGGAACCTGCTTCTTAACACAATCATGGCTAATCTTCAACATCGTATTCCCGTAGACCCTGATTCTATCAAGTCCAAGGCTCCATGATCTCTATCTAGAACCTACTCAATGACTGAGTCTCAGTGACCAACCACATCTGGAGCAGAGAATTCTAAAGATTCACAAAAGCCATGAGTGAAGAAATTGTGCCTCATCCCTGTCCTAATCAGCTAGCCCATTTCTAAAAATATACCCAACCAGGGGCAAGAGCTCCTGTAATCATTTGGCCCTGTCAAACCCTCTCAGAATCTCTTGTTTCAATGGTCTTCGAAACTGTGCTGATTGTAACGAGGTCAGCCAAGTGGACCTCACTGGGGCTGTTAACCTGGTCCAATCAGGGAGCCCTGGCTGACAGATATAAACAGGAGTGTCGGGGTGCTGCTCGCTCTGAGGGAGCTGGATCAGTGTCAAGGACTCTCCATGTGTAAATAAAGGGGGACTTGGTGACAGAATGCCACCCTCTGTGGGGTTATTTCAGAAGTGACAGAGATTTCAGGCCCATATGACTCAACAGCCCCCTCATCTTAATGATCAATCCAGAGTCTCTGCTCCTGCTCCATCCCCATTGCCCAGGAAACCTTTCCTCTCCAAGTATTTATCACATTTCCTTTTTGAAAGTTGTGACTGAATCAATGTTTTCCGCCCCTTTTAGACAGTAGATTTGAAAGGTTTTTATTTCTGGAATCCCCATTACCTGGGAATGTTTGAAGATCTCCCTATTCATAATTATCATTAACAGAGATGGTTAGTTATTTTAAGGTGATTTTCTAAAACCCTACAGCTCAATGAACCTAATGCAAAGGGATCAAGTGAGGACTGTTTAATGTTTCAAAACCTTACTTTGTTTGTTTTATGGGGGTGAGCAGTAAGATGTGTTTTACAATGTTAAGATCTAGTATTAGAGGATGTTATTGTGAAATCTAAGATACCAAGAAAATCTTGAATGAGAATGTACCAATTTGAAATGGATTCCAGTCACTCACTGGGAGGAAGTTGTAGGATTGCAGGGGCAGAGCAGAGAAGTGGGACTAATTGGACGGGTCCTTAAAGAGCTAGCAGAGGCAGTGTGGGCCAAGTGATCACCACTCGTGTTGTATGTTTCTAGTTATGGCTCACCTGAGCTGTTTTTATCAGTAACTTAATTTGGATGTGACCTCTGTAGAGGAGGCAGTTGTGTGAATGAATGGTCAAATCCTGCAACGCACATGTTACTCAGTCATTGCTCAGGTTTCCAAGTTCTGAAGGTAAGGGGGAAGGCAAGTAGAATAGTGGCCTTTATTTCAAATGGAATAGACTATAGAAGTGGGGAGGTTCTGCTAAAACTATACAAGGCAGTAGTCAGACCACAGCTGAAATACTGTGTACAGTTTTGGATCCCTCATCGAAGAAAAGCTATACAGGTATTGGAGACAGTCCAGAGAAGGTTTGCTGGCTGATCCTGGGGATGGAGGACCTGTCTAATGAGGAGAGGTTGAGTAAATTGGGTGTGTAATTGTTGGAGTTTAGAAGAATGAGTGGTGTCCTTATTGAAACGTACAAGATGCTTAGGGGAGTTGACAGGGGAGGTGTGGAGAGGTTGTTTCCTCTTGTGAGACAGTGTAGGACCAGACGGCATCATCTCAGAATAAGGGGGGGCCCCCAATTAAGACACAGATGAGGAATTTCTTCTCTCAGAGGGGATGATTCTTTACTGCTGAGGGCTATATCAAGGTTGGGTCATTAAGTATATTCAAGGCTGAAATATTTTTAATCTGGAGGGAAAACGATGTTGTTTTTTGTTGGAAAAGGCAGGAAAGTGGAGTTGAGGATCCGTGATCTCATTGAATGGCAGAGCAGACTTGATGGGCTCAATGGCCTACTTCTGCTCCTATATTATTGTCATCAAAGCTGACCTGTGTGTGCTCCAGTGAAGATGCCATTATCTGCTTCTGAGTGTAACTTTTGTTGGAAAATCATTTATTTAAAGGAAAGATTACTGATGTAATGTGTGTCCCAGATACATTTGTCGGTGCTGATGGGTGTTCTCTCAATGATACCAATAGGGAAAAGCCAATAGAAGCAGGATTGTACCTCTGGCTTCCTGTTCCTGATGTGCGGTTCTCTTTCCATGTCTCCAAAGGCTGAGATGACCCTCGGGTTCCACACTCCAGTTCTTGACCCTGAGTTTTATTAACATGGGGATGAGGGCTTCCTGTCCTGGTGAAGCTGGAGTTGTTTTCTTTCCAGCAAGATGGATACTGGAGAATTGATCAAGTTGACTGAGAAGAGATTTGAAGATATTAAACCATGAAAGGATTGGAGAGACAAAAAAAAATGTATTTCCATTGGTGGGAGGAATGGTTGCCAGAGGCGATTGGATAAAAATAGCAGAGGTGGTATGAGAAAAGTTTTCTTCCACATGAGTGGATAGGATTTGGAAGTCTGAAAGGGCAGGAAAATAGAGATTCAATAATAGCCTTCAAATGGGGATTGAATCCATGCTTCCAGGGAAGAGCAGGGGAGAGGAACTAACTGGATTGTTCTTGTAAAAAATAAATAAAGAAGTGCAGATACTGGAAATCAGAAACAAAATCAGAAATTGTTGGAAGAGCTCAGCAGGTTTGGCAGCATCTGTGGACAGAAAGCAGAGTTAACATTTCAGGTCCTGCAACCCTTCTTCAGAACAGACTGTTTTCTTTCTTCAGATGCTGCCAGACCTGCTGAGCTTTTCCAGAAATTTCTGATTTTGTTCTTGAAAAGAGCTGTTACAGTAACAATGGGCTGAAGGTACCGCCATGCTGTCCTTTTGATGTTCCCGTGGTAAATAGCCTGATGCTGTCTCTATTTAGTGTACTGCTATGATACAAAACAGGATTAAGGAAGTAGTTATATTGTCACTGAACTAGTAATCTATGCTATTGCTTTGGGTACACCAGTTCGAATTCCACAATGACAGCTGGTGAAATGTTAATTCAACAAGATAGCCTAATTTGAATAGAGCATGTAACCATTATCAGTTAGTGAACCTGATGGGTTTTTACAATAATGACCTTCAGGAAGGGAAATCTACCATCCTTACCCAGTCTGGCCTATATGTGACTCCAGACCCACAGTAATGTGGTTGACCCTAAACTAACCCCCCTCAAATGATCCTAGCAAGCCACTCAGATCAAAGGGCAAATAGAGAGGGGCAATAAATTCTGACACCCACTTCCCATGCACAAATTATAAAAAAAGTTGAAACAAATGAAATAGGAGCGAGGAATAGAATTTGAATAATTGAACCTATCCCAGCATTCAATCTGATCGTGGATTATCTATGCTGACTGGATTCTGTCTCCCTATTCATATATCTGTACATTTCCTCAGTGCCCAATAATCTTACAACTCGGTTTTAAATAGATTCATCTCTGAGCATCCACACAGAGAATCCCAACGATTGATAACTGTTTGTTTGAGGAGATTTCTCCTCAATCCTAAATGACCAACTCCTTGCTATGAGACTGTAATCATTAATCTAGACCCTCCAACCAGAAGAAAAGCGTCTGGGCAACCACACTCCAAAGCTTTATATGTTTGAATGAGAATACCTCAAATTCTTTTAAGCTCCACAAAATACAAGCACTTTCTATTGAATCTGTCTTTGTAGGACAGCTCTCTCAATCTTGGGAATCAGCCTGGCGAACTTTTTGTTGCTTCCCCTCTTTGAGAAGTATATGCTGAGGATGGAAACGGAAAGGGCACGCAGCACTCCAGATGTGGTCTCACTAAAGTCCAATCTAATTACTGTGTAACTCTAAATACTGCTGTGCTTTGCAGTAAGGGCGAACGTACTGTTTGTCTTCCTGCTTGCTTCTTCTTCAAATGGTTCTTTCGAAATTGAACAAAATTATTCAAGAATGTCAGAACTGATGAGTTATATGGCAAGAAGTATGTTTGTAACATCTTCACTTTCTCCAAACTTTACTTTTGCACAGCCGGTTCCGCAGGAGGCACAAAGCTAAGAAAAACAGTCGTGAAGAAGCTGAAGTTCTGAGCTCCGAGCCACTGGATGGGAAGGACTCGCGAGCTGAAGATGAAGACACTGCAATGACCACTCTAGCCTGAGTAAGTACCAACATATTGGCTAATCAGGTTGACCCATTTCCAAGGAAAATATTTTGAAGGTGGGATGTCAAGGACCAATTTTATGACAGAAACAAGATGTAGGACCCAATTCCAAGGATTAGACAAAAGGGGAGGGATTATGAAGAGCAGTGGTTCTAGAGACACTAGTTGACATTATTTGGAAATATTGATCACTGGTTTTGGTATGTTTTTCAAAAATGAAATCATTTAGATAAAGTGCCAGAATCCGGGGTAGATGGTAGTGAAGTAGAACAGTTACTGGGTGAGTAATCTAAAGGCTCAGGTTCATGTTGTGAAGCTGGTGAAATGTGAATTCACTTAACCAACCTGAATAATAAAACTAGACCCTGTAATGGTGACTGTAAAATCACCATCGGTTGTTTTTAAAAAAAACATCTAGTTCACTAATATCCTTTGGCGATGGAAATTTCTTGTCTTTGCCGGGTCTGGCCTACACGTGACTCCAGACCCACAGCAATGTTGTTGACTCTTTTAACTGCTCCCTGAAATGAATAAGCAAGACACTCGTATCAAGGGCATTTGGGGATGGGCAACAAATTCTGTCCTAGCCAGTGACACCTACATCCTGTGAAAAAATACAAAAGTTGAACAGAAACAACATTTGCGCCAAACGATCCATTCTACTGGTTATGCTCCACTCAAGGTGGGGAAGGGGCAAGAGATCAGCACTCGGTAATGAGGCTCATTTGAAGAGCCATTGCAGGGGCATTGGGCTGAATGGCCTCCTTCTGCCCACTAACAATTCTGTGATCCTGGAAATTCTTGTCCCATCTTGGGGTCACCCCATGAGCATCTCCCTCGAATACGTCCCCTTTCACTGCAAACATTTGACATATAGCAGGTTTTTATAGCAAAGAACAGTTCTGTTAAAGATTGAGGAAGCTGTAGATGTTTGCCTTCGAGAAAAGAAGGTTAACAAGAGATTTGACAGAGGTTTTCAAAATTCACAAGGGGGTTTCTGGACGGAGTAAAATGTTCCTGTTTATGAAAGGATTGAAAATGAGAGTACACCAACATCTGTCTGTGTGTCATTTGTAGAATAATACTGTGCAGAAAATGACCATTCAGACCATCTAGCCTGTGCTGACTCAATGGAAGGGCCATCCCTCTACTCTGCTGCTCCCCCAGAGCCCTGTAACTTTTCCACTGCAAATCCCATTTCTCTTGAAGCATCTTGATGGATGGATAATGATAAAGCTGGAGTAGAATTAGTTGCTTGGGATTTGGCACGGACCGGTTGGACCGAAGGGTCTGTTTCTGTACTGTATGACTCTATAAATTTGGTGGTCATGTGCTGAGTTATTCAGGCAATTGGAAATTCCACAACTGGCCCCTGCCGAGTTGATACATTGCAGCCAGAACAGAGTTGGGGATCATACATCTGCTGTCTCCTCCTCTTCCTCCATTGAGCATTGTCAGTCGCTGAAAGGTTGCGGGGCCATGGTTAATGCTGTGATATTGCTTTGGGACAGATTGAACATGCAGTTGGCATTGAACCACACACTGCTGGAGTTACTCTGAACCCCAGACAAACGATCTAGCCAACTGAGCTAACAGCCCATGTTCCTCACTTCGAGTACCTTTGCTCCTGCAGTGAATGTATCAGTTCAATTTTTGACCTGAACTCTTGCAGTGAGATTGGAACCTACAAACTCTGTCTTTGAGGCGAGAGAATTATTTTTAATAATTGTTAATAGGCCAAGGGTGCTGCAGAATAGGGTGGAATTTTATTGCCCATCCTAATTGGACTGAGGAAGGTAATTAGTAATGGAGATTAAATGCTGCCCTCGCCAGTGACATCCACATGCTCCTGTTATGATCCCAGCTGATGGTAACACTGGACAAGGCAGATCCCAGAGTGAAACCTGGTTTGATAGATCATGTTTGTTTTTGCAATTTAGTTACTTATCACTAGCTCCCTCTTTATCAAAAGAACACAAGTCTATTAGTCCAAAGAAGAACAATCTTAAAATAAACATCAAAAAGAATTATTTGTGCTCTTTTCCTTTAAGAGACATTCAATCTCAGTGAAGTATCACTCCTGTCTTCACTTTAAGATTTCTAGCTGAAATGACTCTTTTCAGTTCTGAAGCCTAGAGACTTTTACAAACTGACCTTCTGCTACGATGTTTTTTCTGAACTCCACCTACTAACTGCTCTGGCTATCTGTTTTAAATGCCATAAAAGTTCAACTTGATAAATACTACGGCATTAACTTCCCAGGTAGCTAATCAAGTCACTTAACTCAAGTCAGATGCTTTCTTAGAAAAGGTGTTTGAACTCACTGTTCAAAAAATGATTTTCTGACCTTTCTCTTTTCTTAACATAACAGATCATAACAGAAATGAAGCCAATTCAATTTTCCCCTACTTTAAAATCCAAATTTACAAACATGCCATGAACAAATTAGAAGTGTTATATCATTAAGAATGTTGAACAGAAGGGTGGAAATAGCATTGATGAAGCTAAGGAGAAGCTGGATAAATACTCGAGGAAGAATAGAAAGGCATGCTGTTAGAGTGAGGTAATGTAGGAGCAGGCACTCATGGAGTATAAAAAAACAGCACAGACTGGTTGGGCTGAAAAGCCTTTTCTATGCTATGAAATCTGCAACAGGATGTAGTGACTCTGAACGAGGAAGAAGGTGATAGAATCGGAGTCAGTCTCCTAGTTGTTATTTATTTGGCACATGCTGCCAAATGTGGGATGTTGACTGTAAAGGGAACAAGATGATGTTAGTTACGGTGCCTTTCATATTTAAATAACGCTGTTTAGCCTCCCATGCGAAGCCCAAATTCTCAAAGTGGAGAGGAGGTGGGGTGCAAGGGAGGTATCTTCAGGAGTGAAGATTGAAAGGAAGAGGAAATGATTTTTGAGGTAAATGAATAAGGCTTTGCCCTATTTTAAGAATGAATTTTCTGTTTTACTCCCCCTCCGCAGCATCGACATGGGTAGGTTTGAGGTACCTGCAGGCAGGATTTACCTTCGGAGACTCCTCAAAATATGCCAGCTTCCTGTTGAAGCAGCAGACTTTAATCTGAAAGGACGATGGATTAAATTTAGGAAAAAGAATGAAAATGTTACTCACTATACTTCAACTAAAATAACAATCATCGACAATTTGCCCGACACCGGTACAACTGCATTGTGTTTTCGAAATAGTGCTGAAAAGACTCTGCATCACAAACTGGGAAATTTAGCATGTAAGCTGGGCACACCCTGACAGGGTAATTCACAGTTCTAGACTATTCTTCAAACAGACTTGCAGTTTGAGACCCCTTTGCCAAGAGCACTTCATCTGTTCTTATCTTGTGTACAAGTATGGAATCTACACGTAAGAAAAAGTAAAATATAATGTTACTTACAAGACATGGGACACGTGGGGATACTGAAGCGTTTCCCTTCATCTCAGCAAAGAGGAGAAAATAGATCATACTGAGAAAGCAAAATTTTACAACCATCACCAGTCTTTGTGTTTTAATTCCATTTAAAAAAAAACACATTTCTGATCCAGGATGAAAATTGTGAATTGTGATGAACTTTGTTTCTAGAGCACAAAAAATACACTGTTGCAAATATAAGTTCAGATATCACTTTCCTTTCATAAAATGAATCACTTTATTTTGTTAATGTTGTTATTTATGAATGCTGTTTTAAAAATATAGTGTTACTGATGTAGAAGGTGTAACCAAGGGGAAGTTGGCTGGTTCCGTGTTCTGTGATCAGTGTATCAAAGCTGAGTAAAATACCAACACAGTGTATGAGTGTTAAAGTGGTTGTACTTTCTTCCTTACTGTCTTTGCAGCAATGATTTGGAATTCCGAAAATGAAATGGATGTGTTATTTGCAGGTGTTGCATTTATTTGTTATTTAATAAATGTACATCATTTCTTCATTATTGTCTTCTCAATATTTTAACTCCCTATTATCTGTCTGTACAAGTAAAATCATTTAAAATGAGAAAAATCAAAAGTTCTGGAAATATTCATTAAGTCAGGCAGCATCCTTTAGGGAAGGAAATCTGCCATCCTTACCTGGTCTGGCCTACATGTGACTCCAGACCCATAGCAATGTGGGTGACTCTTAACTGCCGTCTGGGCAATTGGGGACGGGCAATAAATGCTGCCCTAGCCAGTGACACCCACAACCCAGGAATGAATATAAAAACCCATGGAGAGAGAAACGGTTCATCTATCCCAAATTCCTGACAATATGTCCCTTTGACCTATTTTCTCCTCTTACTGGTTCAGATTTCAGCTTTGCACCTTTCTGCATCTCTGGTGAGGTGCTGTTGCCGTGATATGAATGATTTTAAAAGTTAATCTAGGCTGCAGGTTGATGCTAATGCAAGAGAGATTTATGAAGATGAATTAGGAGCTGATCTAGGCCATTCAGCCCCTCAAACCTGCTCTGGCATTCACTAAGATATGTTCCAATTGTGACCTCAACTTTCCTTTCCTGCCAAACCCTGGTACCTTTAGAATCTTGACCAACAAGGGAGTCCATCTGCCTCTGCTATAAAAATATTCAAGGACCAAAGGCCAGAGAGTTGTGATCACTGGGAGAATTTAAAGAGGAAGTAGGTAGATTTTTGAAATCCTGAGGAGTGGAGGGCTATGAACGGCACAAAAAAGTAGTTAAGGCCTCTGGTAGATCAACTATGATCTTGGTGAATGGTAGGACAGGTATGATGGGCCGAATGGCTGATTTATGCTCCTATTTCTTGTATTATTTCAGAGACTCACTGGATATTTGAAAAGGAAATATTTACAGGAAAGAAGGGAAAGGGCTTTGGGACTAAGCTGCTACCATGGCCATCTGATTGACTGCTTCCTGTAATTTCCCAGGATCTGTAGATGTGATCACTAAAGGTTACACATTCTAATTTTAATTTCTGCTGCATTATACAGTTCTGGCATTGTTGAAGACAGAACTGTGCAGTTAGCACTGTGATCACTGGATCATTTTACTTGATACCTACAGCTACAGCCCCTGCACTGAAACCTGTTAGTGAACTTTAAGTTCCGAGGGTCGTAGAGTGAATTGCAACTTACTCCAGAATGTATCTGACTGCTCTCGGCTACTTTCTTTATAACGAAGCCTGAATCAGTGGAGTCTACAATAAAACTAAAACAGATGTGCGGAATCCTGTTACCAGATCCAGCGTGCTGATTGGTGCGGATTCAAACAGTACACAGAAACCTCACTGACACTAACACACTGACCCCAATTTCTGGTTTCACTTGGTTACTCCCACAGTGATCTCATTGGAATGAATTTCTCCAGTGAAAGCTGAATACAATGCTTGAAGGATCACTGTAAATGAGCTTCATCACTTCAGTAAGAGCTCACATGGGTTATTGAATTACAGTTACAAATTCAACTCTGCTGCCACTGCAATGAACATTAATATATAGTGACTGAAATGAGGTATTAAGGACATAGCTTGTGATATTACATTGAATCAACAGAAGCGAAACAGGCTGTTCGGCCCAGCTACTCTCTGCTGGTGTTTCTACTCCACACAAGCTTCTTCCCACTCTCTCTTTATCTCACACGATCAACATTTCTTTCTATTTCTTTCTGCTTCATATGTTTATCCAGCTTCCTCCTAACCAGATTGATTCGGTTCATCTTGAACACTTCCTATGGGAATGAGTTCCAAATTCTTCCCACTCTCTAGGGAAAAATGTTACTATGGCAGCTAGTTTATTTGTAATGAAGTGTTTCAATATTATATTCTGCAAGTGCTGTGTAAAGTATACAGCAGGGAATTAGGCCATTCAGCCCAATGGGTCTATGTTGATGTTTTATTCAATAAAACTTGCAATGGGGGTTTGGAACACCCCCACCATCCTTCTGACTCAAGTACAACTCACTGAAATATATTTAACATGATGTTCCAACCTTGTTAGAAATATGCTGTGATTAACTGGGAGATCCTTGTTTCTACAACCACAGTGTAAACATTGCTTTTACAGTCAGTAAAGACGTAGGAATGGAATATGTAGTTGCACAGGATGTGTCACGAGGTCAGGTTAATGGATAATTTCCTTCAAAGGAAAGCACGTCAGTAAAAGGCTTGCATGGAAACTTTTCATTAATCAGTCTTTTGCAAAAAGAAAACAGAACCTTCAAATTGTGTGAGTGAGTGTCTGTGTGTGTGTGAGTGAGTGTCTGTGTGTGTGTGTGTGTGTGTGTGTCTGTCTGTCTGAGAGTGTGTAGAGGCAGTGAATGTTTCAGAAAGGGGATGAGACTTTAAACGGATTTCTCATGCTTGATACAGCTTGTGTAAAGCCATTGAAAACACCTTGATCAAACCTCACCCCAGTGGTTGTAGATCCATTTTAATGTTAAGTGAAAACCGAAAGAACTGCAGATGCTAGGAATCCGAAACAAAAACAGAAATTGCTGGAAAGGGTCAGCAGGTCTGGCAGCATCTGTAGAGAGAAACGTTTCGGGTCCAGTGACCTTTCCTCAGAATTCGTCTTGATTACTAGTTTGATGCTGTAGCATTCTCTGATATAGGGGGAGGCAATGGCATAGTGGTATTATTGCTGGACTGTTAACCCAGACACCCAAGTAATGTTCCAGAGACCTGGGTTCGGCAGATGGTGGAATTTGAATTCAATAAATATCTGGAATTAAGAGTCTAATGATGACCATGAATCCATTGTCAATTGTTGGGGAAAAAAGAACCCATCTGGTTCACTAATATCCCTTTAGGGAAGGAAACTGCCCTCCTTACCTGGTCTGGCCTACATGTGACTCCAGACCCACAGCAATGTGGTTGACTCTTAACTGCACTCCCTGGGCAATAAATGCTGGCATAGCCAGCGATGCCCTCTTCCCGTGAATAAGTAAAGAATTATGAAGCTTTTTGGAGGTAACTCTTAATGCTTCTTTTTTTCTGAAATCATGGCTTAATTTTTATAAATATGGACAAACCTTATGGAACAAGGAGCAGGAGAAGGCTATTCAGGCCCTTAAAGCTGTTCCACCATTGAATCAGGTCATGGCTCATCTGATGGTAATCTCAACTCCACATTCCATCCTACCCTTGATACAGAAGAGGCCCTTTGGCCCATCAAATCTTTCAGCCCTTTTGCTTACCACTACCTCCCCTAGAGGAGGACAATGTCAATGCTGAAACAGGGGCAGGTTAGACATGTATGAAAGAGGAGAAAGAGCATTCCTAAATCTGTCACAAAATCAACTTTAAATAAAGGCACAGTTCTTGGGATCCAAAAGAGAAACACAAGCGGAAATTTGACCACATCAGTTGCAGAGAGTTTGCTGCTTCACTTGAGTGGGTAAGTGCTTCCTAGTTTCTAATTTGGACAATGTTGTATGTTGTTTCTTTTTTCAAAACTGGCCCATTCATATCGGATTGGGATTGTGCCTCTTTACATTCTTACTGAAGGACGAGGCCATTCAATCTGTTGTGTCTGCACTGGCTTTTGGAAAGATCTGTCTAATTAAGTCCAATCTCCCTGCACTTTCCACATAGCCTTGGACACATTTCCTTGTTAAACATGATTTTAATTTCCTCTCAGGTTACTATTGAATCTGCTTCCATCACCCTTTCAGGCAGTGCATTCCAGATCACAATTACTCTGAGTTGAGGAGGAACTTCTTCACCAAAGGATTGTGATTCATTGGAATTCCCTGCCCAGTGAAGCAGTTGAGGCCTCCTCATTGAATGTTTTTAAGGTAAAGATAGATTTTTTGAACCCTAAGGGAATTAAAGGTTATAGTGAGCAGGTGGGTAAGCGGAGCTGAGTCCATGAGAAGATCAGCCATGATCTTATTGAATGGTGGAGCAGGCTCATGGGCCAAAGGGCTACTCCTGCTCCTATTTCTTAAGTTCTTATTGCTCACCAAATGCATTACTTTCTCCTCATCTCAAATCTGATTGGTTTACCAGATAGCTCCAATCAGTGTCCTTTATGTTTACTGACTCTCCTGCTTGTGATTTGTTGCTCATAACCAGCAGGTGGCCTGGAGACATAACTAAATAATAAGGTCATGTCGTGGGTGCCAAAGGCAACATTGATTCAGATGTCTGAGTTGGTCTGTCAATCTCATCGATTTTCCAGTGATGTTCACCAGGAAGACAGCCAGGGCCTGCAAAAACGTCTTTTAATCTTTTAGGGCATGTTCAGTTAATGGCTCAGTGACAGGTAAAGCACTACAATGGGTCTAGTCCAAGTTGTAGACTTGCTTCATTTGAGTGGATTTCCCCTAATGTCTATTATCTGTATCCCACATGATCTTCATTCTTCAAGATCTTCATTACTGCCATGTCATTGCGCTCTCAGTTCTGTTTGTGGTCGTGAAGTCTGTATTTTTCCATCAAACTGCCTCAATTTTACTTTCAAGGGCTTCATTTTGGGGTCACATCTTGAGTGCTTTCACACAAGTCTCAGAAACTAATGATGTTGGTTAGACCCCCACTTGGAGTACAGTGAGCAGATCTGGACATGCCTTAGAAAGGATAGATTGGCCTTAGAGGGAATGTAGTGTAGAATGATACCTGGACTTCAGTGGTTAGGTTATGAGGAGAGATTATAGAAATTTGGCCTGTTTTCTTTAAAATTTAGAAGGTTAAGGATGATTGGATGAAATTCTTCAAGATATTAACAGGAAAAATTGGGTGGATAAAGATAAACTGTTTCTAATGGTTCTAATCTAGAACTAGGGACTTAGTCTGAGAATAGGGGCCAGACCATTCAGGAAGTACTTCTACATACGCAGGATGGGAGAGGTTTGGAACTCTCTTCCACAAAGGATGCAGAATCAGTCATTAATTTTAAATCTGAGATAGATAATTTTATATAAAACAAGGAAATATGGATGGTGGAGATCTCAAACAAAAATAGAAATTGCTGGTGA